AGGACTGAGAAGTGCTTAAAGATGCAGTGGCTGAATTGTGCTAACAGACCTTTAAAGAATGACTTCAGAAGAGGACAGTTTTAAACCCAGTATGTCTAGGATTTACTTCTGCGAGTCACAGAATGCTCATAAGAGAAATCAGGGAAGGTGAAGAGAAAGGGAGAGATTTCATCGTGTTCATTAGAAGACTCAGCATTCCAAAAAAAAAAAACCCCAAATTTATATGGAGGTTAAATGTAATTCCTGTTGGAGTTCCTTAGCATTTTCTATAGCTTTTCAAAATGACTTCAAAAATTAATTAGAAACTTAAAGGAACTAGTATAACAGTTTTGTAAAAGAATAAAGTAGGGAAATTTGGCTCCCCAAATTCCAGTGCTTCCTGCATGTCTTGGGGAATTAAGTTTGGGAGTTTTGGTAGAAGGATTGACACAAGGATTAGTAGGACAGGAGAGGTAACCCAGAAGTCTGCTGAAAACTTGAGCTAACTGATGTGTGACTGAAATGCGAAAGGAATTCAGTGAAGAAAGGGTAGCTTTTTTGGAAAATGATTGAAGAAAGGAAAAAAGATATAAACCTCACATGGAAAACATAGAAAAAACACTTCAGGGTATAGGGCATGGTGAACAGTTTTTAAATCCAACACCAAACATATAATCTATAAAGAAAAGCCGATAAATTGGTTCTATGAAAAGTAAAAGGCTGAGAAACTAATAAGACGGGCTACACATTAAGAGAAAATATTTGTAAAGCACACATCTGTTAAAGGACTTTAAAGAGCTCCCAAAACCCAATCCTTACCAAAAAAAAAATAGATAATGAGATCTTTGGATTTTTGAGAAAAATGTAAGAGAAAGGAATAGAGAAGTCATTGAAGAGGATGTATGGTTGGGAAATCAGCACATGAAAGGATGGTTAAAATACCAAGTTCAAGTCCACTAAGGATTATCACTATGCATGTATTTTACTGGATACACTTAATTGTTGACAGTATTAAATGCTGATACTGAGTAGCGTTTCCTTTTGGATAATCTTTGGCTGTTCTTTGATAACTAAGAGACACATGTCACGTTATAACAATCTCACCTCTGTGTTTATCCCATAAAAGCAGTTTACATCCACATAAAAATATAAAATTATATATGTGAGTTTCTATATATTGGAGTACTTCAAAAAAGCTCATGGGGGCCTGTTGGCTAAAGTCCTTACCTTGAACTTGCAGCAATCTCATAAGGACACCAGTTCTGGTCCCAGATGCCTTGTTTCCCACCCAGCTCCCTGCTTGTGGCCCGGGAAAGCAGTCGACGATGACCCAAGGTTTTGGGCCCCTGCACCTGTATGGGAGTCCCAGAAATGGCTCCTGGTTCCTGGCTCCACATTGGCTCAGTTCTAGTCATTGAGCCACTTGGGGAGTGAGTCTAAGGACGGAAGATCTTCTTCTCTGTCTCTCTTCTCTGTATATCTAACTTTCCAATAAAAATAAATAAATCTTTTAAAAAAACTCATGGAAAAGTAAAATTTAATAGTACAAAAATGTGAACTCTATGCATACAATTACTAAATGAGATCCTTTATTACAAGTGCTTATTAAATATTAACCAGTATGGAGCTGTGTATATATCAAATGTACAAATATTTATACCAGCGTTATTTGTAATATCCTCATACTACAGACAGGAGTCCTTCAGTAGATAAATTGTAATACATCTGCACTATGGAATTCTGTTCAGTGAAAAAAAAAAATGACTTACTGATAAAATAACTTAGGTGGGTCTTAAAGGTAAAGAGTGATTTAAAAGTGCCAATCTCAGTTGGTCACAAACTGTGTGATTCTGTAGAGCATTCTCAAAATGATCATTTGTAAAGATGAATAACAGATTAATGATTGTTCATGGTGAGGAATAGCCAGAGGAAGAGGAGTGGGTATACCCGTAATGGCCTAGCAGAAAGAAATTCTTAGTTCTGTAACTTGGTTGCAGTGGTGGCTATATGAGTCTGCACCTGTGACAACCAAATTACAAAATTATTTACACAATGTATGGGAATGTCAGTTTACTGAATTTGTTACTATAATGTAGTGGCATAAGTTTAACCTGTGTGAAGCTAGTGATGAATACATGGGGCTTGATTTTGCAGAAAGTCAGAAGATTGAGAGATTATTGCTCTAGGAGTTCAGAGAAAGAAACTGGATTAATGAAGAGATCTGGGTTAATGAAGAGACAGATCTGAGCTTTGGAACTTTCCTCAGTGGGAAAGTTGAGCCCTGGCCATGCTGCCACTTAGATAGTGCACCGGCAATTGCAAGATCTCTTGCTCTCTTTTCCATCTCCTCTCTGTGTAGTTCACCTTTCAAATAAGATATTTTAAAACTAATAATCAGAAAAATTCCTGTTTCAATTTCTAAAATAGGAGAACTCATATTAGCTGATGATGTCAGGATTGATTTTAGGACTGTGTTACAGTCCTGTGATCATCTCTTCTACTCTTGGGGACTTCACATCCTACGCATGCATATTTGAGTGATTGCTCAGCATTTCTCTCCTATTTAATTGTAAACTTTCTGAGGCTTGACGTTGTAGTGCCAGCTTCTGTCCCTCTTGAGATACTGAATGTTGACTGAAGCAGTGTCATTAAATGTTATTCAGGTTACTAGTGACAGATTTTGAAAAAAAAAAAAAAGATGAAGACTAGAAATGATATTGAAACATGTTTGAGATTGGCTGGGGGTAAAAGCAGTGGAACTGTAAGATGCATAGTCCACGCTGAGCAGAAAGCAGGTGGCGGGGAGCAGTTGTGCCTCACATTTCTATGCATTATACTAGATATAGCCAGTATGGAAGTACGTGTTCAAATGCCTTTGCACAATCAGGTTACAAGCTGGCCTCACATCTCATGTAACACATGTTTCTAAGTGCAGTTTATAATTCAGTTGCCCAAAGTTTCATTTCTAATATGTTCTAGTGAAATTCATAAGATTATAAGTATAATATTTTAATACAAATAATATTAGTTATAACTTCTAGATCCTGGAAGAGAATTAGTCCCTTTTAGAGTTAAAGAAAAAAGCTGAGTTTAGGTGTAAGTTTGAAATATGTGATTTTGAAATTTCTATTTATCTTCTGTAAATTCTTTGTCCCCACCTCTCCACACCGATCTAGGAACTCAAAGCTGAGAGTTAACTTGTTTTAGAGTATCCAAGTTTTAATCCAAGCATTCCATTGCTGACATTTTGGCAGACCAGATAAAGTAAACACTTGAGACTGTGACAAAAATTACTTCTGTTGTTTAATTTTTAAAAAAAGATTTATTTTTGTTTCAAAGGTGGATTTACAGAGAGATGAAGAGACAGAGAATCTTCCATCCACTGGTTCACTCCCCAAATGGCCACAGTGGCCAGAGCTGAGCTGATTTAAATCCAGGAATCAGGAGCTTCTTCCAAATCTTTCACATGAGTGCAGGGTCTGAACGTTTTGGGGCCTATCCTCTTATGCTTTCCCAGATCACAAGTAGGGAGCTGGATGGGAAGTGGAGTAGTTGGGATGAGGGATTAACTGCTGAGCCATCACGCTGGTCCATATTGTCTTCTTCAGGATGTGAATGTGTGATTGAAGTGTACAGAGGCGAGATGGTACCTAGCCCTCCTCCTTGGTAGAGCACTGGACAACCTAGTATTTAAACCTATCTCCTAGATCTCACAGGGTACCTAGATCCAGAGTGATAGAAAATAATTCTTGCCTTTCCCAATTTGACAAAATTAGCTGCTGGAGTGAACTTTGCAGTAGAAGGGAAAAGGGGTTCCACTCGGGGCAGCTTCCTTGCGGTGCAGACCCTGTGGGACTCCCCAGGCCCTGTTGGATTTCTAATGGCAGGTCACTCCCTCTTTGGCATGTGACTGGTCAGAGCTTTAAGTCATCCTTACGTCAAAGTCCAGCTTATGTCAAAATCGTAGGATTTACTGATTATACTACAAAAAAAGCAAGTGGTTAATTGCAGAAATCTTCTACAGTAAATGTGGGCAATAACTTGAAATTTTTGTGAAGGCAAAAAAGGACTTCTACTGAATGCTAGTCCCATTCACCATTACTACCATCCTTTCCCACCAAGCAGGTCCTGTATGCACCAACATCCTACCTAAACACTCAGTTGAAGTTTGAGTGGTTGAGATTGATGCTCTCCCAAGATATGCCATTTTTATTGGGTGACTTGGAGGCTGTCCTGGTGCAGCTGCTGCTTTTCCAGTCCACAGAAAGACGGAGAGACTGGGCCCAGCAACCTCTTAAAGGGATGTGACCATCATGTCACAGGTGAGAAGAAACGCCCTCAGAGCTACAAGGAGCATTGTAGGTCAAGGGCTGACCCACAAATGAAGAAAGGTTTTGGTTTTGTTAAGTCATTAACTTGTAAGGGCATTTTTTTCAAAGATCCCTTATTTAATAAAAATTTTGCTTATTGAGGCTGGGAATAGATGTATACTATAATGTGTATTTAAGCACCAGACATGTGGCATTCTTCAAGACAGGTTCTGAATAAAGCAGTTATTAGTGGGATGCCACCCTTGCGGACACTTCTCATGTCTCGTGTTCTTTGCTGTGACGCACACACCTGACAAACAGTATATTTAATACAAACTCGTGACCTTCTGACTACAGAAACAGCCATGTTAGGTGACTTGGTCACACCCTCCCTCCACCAATTCCCTAAATGAGTCATTCAACCATAATGCATAGTAATAAATGAGAGCTCACAACTTGATGTCAGCAAAATGTATTTTAACTCCTGACTCCAAAGTATTAGTGTGACATTGGGTAAAATGCTTTAGTTCTGTATGCCTTGATTTCTATATTTTAGAAGATACCAATGCTTACTCCTCAAGATTTCTATAAGTCTTGATATTGTCTATGATGGGCAGGATGTAATATTGGCAAATCAGTAGTTTTTTGAAAAGTTTTGGGCTGACAATGCACTTTGAAACTCAGTTTAAATTGAATCAACATTGTTTAGTAGGGATTTGATGTGTGTGCCTGTGTGTGGTCCCCATTATGTGAAATTCACTGGAAAACACTACATCCACACTTTACATGGCCCATTTTTTTTTAATGATCAATATTCTAAGTGATTATCTTCTTTGCTTTTGAGATCAGTTTGGATGGGAGGAGGGTACTGCATAATGTGTAACATTCAACTAATCTAGTCTGTTAATTTGGTAGTATAGAAAGATTTGTGAAGAATGAATTTCCATACTCTTGAAGGTGCTCTTACGCATTCTGTCTGCTTGCGGGTTTATACTGTTGCCTTGTTTCAGAGTAGAACTTTCTGCCTACAATGTGTGTGAACAATTGGGAAATTCCCTATCAGTACACCCGCACCATCTTGACAGCCCTGTGTTCTGCCTCTACCTTGCTAATTGTTTCCTTGGGATTATTTGGATTGTGTAGAAAGCTTTTTGCAAATCCTCTTATTACCGAAGTCATTGTTGCCAGCAGGAATAAGATTAAAGGTGCTTAAGTCTGTAGAGTTGTTTTTAATTTGTGCGTGTCATTTCAGTGGTATTTTAACAGAACTCTGTCTCCTGTCCCTCCCTTTTCTCTCAGTACTATCTCAAGTTGGGTCCAAGAAGCCAGGCCATTGGAAGAAATCTCATTTTATCCTCCTAATTATTATGCTGGCACTCAGGAGATAATTTTTCCCTCCATGCTCTGCCAATTAATATGCAAATGGGCTGATAAATATTTATGCAACTGTTTAAATTATGCAGGGAGTGCTTTCAGTGTATTCTGTAAATGAATTGTTCATGGACTTCAAAGTGCTGGCTGCTGTGCTAACGAGGAGAGATTTGCATAAGGCCCTAATCACACGCATACTGATTAAGCTTCATTATGGAAACTGCCAGCTGCAATCTTTGTTTCTATTTTATTGCAAAAAAGGGAACTTTTCATGCTTCAGTTGCCTTGACAATGTCAGCGCTAGCTGGTAGGAGAGACTAAAACTCCTCTGAGCAACTGAAGTTTCCTTATTCAGTTGAAGATTGCTATGGCGTAACTGAAGTTGTATTTTGCTTCTCCCCTTAATCCACTTTCACACCCCCACCCTTGTTCTTTTAGAACATAGTGTAGGTTTGTTAGAAACAGTAGTACCTTCTTTCCCCCCACCCCAAACCGCTACCTGTTTCTTCCCTGCCTTGGACTGTCTGCACCACTAGAAGATTTCACAGCAATGCTGGACTGCAGTGACTATGTTCTAGGTGGGTACCAGCGCAGTTCTTTCTTAGAACTTTAATATGGAAATGGCATGTGTGGGGTTGTCTATGCATAAATGCTTAATCGCATATGCAACCAATGCAGGGGAGGGGGAGAGGAGGATTGAGCAGGGGAAGCAGAAAGCATTTGCAAAGCACAAGCATACTTGAACCTACAGTAGGTCCCTCCCTACAACCAGCTCTTCTGGGGCGGGGGGTGTTTGCAGCGAGTAGTGTGGACTTAGAATTCAGCTGGGAGAAAGGACATTTTTGCTTCTTGGAAATTTTTTTGCAAAGTATTTCATGTCGTGTCAAGGCCATTTTAAATTTGAAACAAAGTATAAATTATCTAAATAATATGTACATACTAATAAAATTGTTTTACCTACTTGATGAGAATGTCTTATGCCAAAACCAAGCATACTGGGTGAAAAGAATGGAGGATCCATTTTGCAAAATGTTTCCCATACATATAGTAGCACAGAGGTTAACTGCAGTGGTGGCTGCCATGGATCTGTTAATTGAGGGCCAAATTTCAGAAACTGGTGGCAGATGTTGCCTAGCATTAGCCCTCATCCTTGTTTTTATAAAGCAAACTATGTCTTTCAGAAAATTGTAGTCTTACACTGTTGAAAGTCCTAATTTATTTGTGAGTTTTCCCTAAAGATTTGAAAACTTTTTGAAAAAGGATGTGTTTGGCTTAAATATTTGAAGAACCATTCTTGATGACTAAGGTTGAAAAGAAATTGTGACACTTTGGTGCTTAAGCATCTGATGATTCACGAGTGGACATATTTTATGTGGAGTTTTGTCTGTCTGCATATAATTAAGGAAATCTTTTTTAGGTTATACTAGTCACCTGAAAGTCAGATGTTATGAACTCCATCTGAAACTTTGCAAATGACTGTTTTTTTCTGTACTCATTTTCCCCACTTGAAAATTGAGGCTGCTTTGGTCATCTTCACAGTTGTCAGGGACAAAGTAGTGGGATGCCTCCGAGGAGATCTGAAATCTTAGAGAAGGCATGGCCTAAACCAAAGGTAGCAGCAATAGTTGTCCTGCCCTGTAAAAATTTCTTTTTACAGGGAAAGTGACCCAAATAACAAGTTGGTATCAAGAATTTAATAGCTTGTGGACTACATTATGTACTTCAGTTATATGACAGACACTCATGTATATATTGCTTAAGGAGAGAAAAAATCTTCAACTATAACAAATTTATTTTTTACTTACATTTTTTATTTATCAAATCTGAGAACTTAAGAAAGAGAAAATGGCTTTTTGAAATGCTTTTAGCATGGTATTTTAGAGCTTAAAACTGTATTTACTACTTCAGTTAGCAGTAAATGTCATTTAAACATTCATTATTGTGTGGTTAATCGGATTTTTTTCCCTATGGGTGGAATAATTTGTTAGATGCGGTTGTAGCCCTTGACAATTTTTAGACAGTATAACGTAGCTGTGACATAATTTTTAACTTGTAAATGTAGAAATTAGAATAAGTTTAGATTTGTGTTTCCTTATGTTTCTCTAGTCTTTGTATATTAGACTTTGTACCCATTTTATGAAGGTGGACTGACGTGTTCTTTTCCTTCACTTTGCCCTCACACCTGCTAAAGAAATCCCTGCCAGCATGTGTGCTTAATGCTATATTCTCTGCTATTTCTTGCGCTCTTTGTGAACTTTCATGACTGTAGTAAGTCATTTAGAAAGCTGATTCTCACTAAGTTGTCCACCTGTTTCTTTCAAACATGCTTTCAGATGATATTTAAATTTTCTGGACAGTACCAAGAGGAGGAACTTGTAGAACTGCCCCCATTTATGACCACAGATGTACAAATTTTCACCCTCTTGGACATCTGAAATACAAAGATGTGAACAAACCATGCCTGAGAGACAATCATCAGTTACAAAACTTAGAAAATTGTTATACAGCTTCTAACTGGAAATGAAGTTATGGAAAAAAGATACCTGGCTTTTAAAAAAATACTTTTTGCAGGTAGAAAATGTACTTATAGACCATATGACTGGGCTCTGTAATGATTGCTGTGATTTCCTAGTTGCTTTTAGGCAAATGCACTCTTTGTTTAAAAAAAATCAAATACAATATAGCATAGATTATTGTTCTGTCCTAGTAACTGTAGTCAAATGGTTCTTAACTGGCGGGGAGGCAGAGCTCATTTGATAGTTAAGTTGCCTCATTATACTATTCTGAGTGTGTAGTGGACATAGAATAAATGCCTATTTATATGTCTTCTATTGACCCCTTTGAACAGGTAGGAAATAAACATTGATTAAACAGATATTCCTAAAACAAATAAAACCAATTTAGCAAATTCATTTATGATATCAAGATGATAATTGATAGGTAAACGTGGCTGTGTTATAGTTTTGAAATTATGGTTGTGTCTTCTTGGGTTCCTAAACTGCTGGTCTAATATTAAACTATGAATTTCTCACTCAGAATCTAGTTTAGTTGGTTCAGACAGTAAAATACAGAGGTGTTTTTTTAGATATATTTTCTTTTACTCTGTTGAGTTACTACTTCAGATTACCAGTGGGTTATTTGGCTATAATAGATGAGCATCTTTCTTAGAAAAAGATACCTCTCTTGGAAGTAATATTTTTGTACTGTTTGAGGAACTTTCCTCACCTTGACTTTTTCTTAAATGTGTTTTTTTTTTTTTTTTGTGCTGTAACTTACTCCTTTTATGTGTAGGACATAGTTTCAACTTGGGGTTCTGCTGGTTTTTAATTTTTTTAAGAAGAATTTGAAGCTTCTTTAGAATGATCATTTGTTTCTGGATACCTTTAGGGTCTCAGGAGTTCTGATTTTCTTTGGGGTCTAAGGAGTCCTGATAATCACTTACTGCAATTTCTAATGTTTCAGCCTGCATCTAATGTTTAAAACTGTATCTCTTGAGCTACATGACTATACCATTAGTTAACCCTCTTGTCTGCTACTTTTTATCTTAATTGCATCTTCAATCCCAATTTTAAAAAAAATCTTATTCATCTCTAATTTGTTGCAGACTCAAGAATGAACAATCCATCAGAAAGCAGTAAACCATCTATGGAGAGTGGAGATGGCAACACCGGTAAGGAACAGTTCCCTGCTTTTTAGTTGAATGTATGGAACTGAAAGAAGAATCCTTTTTGCTTATAGGACGTGTATTTGGCAAATGCAGGCCAGTTGTGTGTTCAGTTACCCAATTTGATCTTAGTCCTTGCAGGAACTGGACTGTGTGACTCACTTTCTCGTGCGGGTTATGCACCTTTTTTCCTTACCCCAGAAACCAGGGAGTCGTTACAGGAGTAGTCCTTTGAGTAAGATCATTCTGGGTGGGAATTACTATGACTGCAACTCCAGGCAAGTTCCTCCCATTTTTGAGAATAAATTTAAATTATACAATGGGAGATGTTAAGCGAAGTAATAATACACTGTAGCTGTTTATAGTAGTTTTCCATCTCAAATTGAAATACATTAGAGTTACAGTAGTGTGTCTAGATAATTATCAACATGCATTTATTATACATCCTTTTATTTGTTAATTTTTTTAAAAAGATTTCTTTTACTTTTATTGCTAAGTCAGATACACAGGGAGGAAGAGAGACAGAGAGGAAGATCTTCCATCTGATGATTCACTTCCCAAGTGAGCACAACGGTCGATGCTGATCTGATCCGAAGCCAGGATCCAGGAAGTTCTTCCAGTTCTCCCACGCGGGTGCAGGATCCCAAGCCTTTGGGCCATCCTCGACTGCTTCCCAGGCCACAAGCAGGGAGCTGGATGGGAAGCGGGGCTTCCAGGATTAGAACTGGCGCCCACATGGTATCCCGGTGCATTCAAGGCTAGGATTTTAGCCGCTAGGGCACGCTGCTGGGCACTTCTTTGTTAATTTTTAAAGAAATTTATACTTGATTCCACCTTTTATCGAGAAATATTATTTTTACCTAAGAAAACTGAGGCCCCGTTTGTTCTATAGCCCATTCAAATTCCCTGTTTGTTTTTTTCTGATCTGTCAGAGATGCTACAGTGACTTTCCTAGTTTCTCTGTTAAATTAACTTACAGTAACTTTTATTTACTTAAAGCAACTTTTTAAAGCTTATTTATTTATATGAAAGGCAAAAATACAGAGAAAGGGACAGACAGAGAAATCTGTCTGTAATCCACTCCCCAGGTGGCCATAGTGACCAAGGTTGGGCCATGCCATAGCCAGACCAAAGAACCTCGATCAAGTCTTCCTTGTGGATGTAGAGAACCAAGCACTCAGGCCATCTTCTGCTGCTTTCCCAGCCACATTTGCAGGGAACCGGCATGGAAGTAGAGCAACTGAGCAACTGAGACTCAAACCAGTGACTGTATGGGACACCAGCATTGTAGGCCACAGCTTAACCCACTATTCCATAACGCTGGCTCCAAGGAAGGGAATCTGGGCAGGAATGTACAAAAATTGTTTCTAAGCTTTCTTAAGTACTTGGTTCAAGTTGCAGCTACTCTGCATAGGGTCTAGTTTCTTACTAATACACCTTGGAGGCAGTACGTGATACTCAAATATTGGGGTTCCTGGTTCCTGGTTGTGGTTTGTCCCAGTCTCAGCTATTGCAAACAATTGGAAAGTGAACCAAGAATTTGATAATGTCTCCCCCTCAACTCTCTATCCTCCCTTACCTCGCCACATCATTCTGCTTTTTAGATAAATCTTTTCAACAAAAACTTAATTTGTAGTAGATGGTTAGATTGAACACATTCAGTAGTTCCCTGCATGCCTGTCTTTCATTATATACCTTGGGATGCTTGCTAATCTTTCAGTCTATTCAATTTTCATCTTTTTTGTGAAGCTAGCTATAAAACTTCCATGTTCAGCCTTGTTGCATTTAGCATCCCTCATGTTACTCTAACTTAGGCTAACCATGTAACAGCTATGTTAGAGTCCTAGAGAAGGAGAAGGGTACCATTATGTTCTGTCTTAATTGCCATCCCTTGTGTCGTTGCTGTTATTTCCTTACCCTTGAACCCAATTATTCTTTCCTTTGCAGCACCGTTTACCTATGTCAGTTCAGATGCATCCGCTGCCTGATTTAGCTGAGGGACTTGCTTGCATATACTAGACACTCCGTTTTGTGAAGAAAGAGGGCATCTAGGCATGGACACCATGCCTGAAAAACAGCTTCAAGGAAGAGTTGAGCTGTTCTAACTAGGGGGTTGGACACAAACTCGAAGAGTGATGGGCAATCACTGAGAATGTGCCACTGCGTTGGCTGCTTTGGGAGCTGCAGTGTTTAACACCATCACCGTAGAGCTGCTTTCCATAGCCACCACTTATTGGGCAGTTCCAACAATCATTTACTAAGGTCGTATGCCATGTTTTTGAAATCATAAATGCTGTATGTTTTTTTTAAAGATTTATTTATTTTTATTACAAAGTCAGATATACAGAGAGGAGGAGAGACAGAGAGGAAGATCTTCCGTCCCATGATTCACTCCCCAAGTGAGCACAACGGCCAATGCTATGCTGATCCGAAGCCAGGATCCAGGAACTTTCTTCCGGGTCTCCCACACGGGTGCAGGGTCCCAAGGCTTTGGGCCACCCTCAACTGCTTTCCCAGGCCACAAGCAGGAAGCTAGAGGGGAAGTGGAGCTGCCAGGGTTAGAACCGGCACCCATATGGGATCCTGGTACATTCAAGGCAAGGACTTTAGCCACTAGGCCACACCGCCAAGCCCCAAATGCTGTATGTTTTACGTGATTTCAGTTAAGATCTTTTGGTTAATTAGATGTTGTTCTTAGCTTTGCGCAGTGGCAGTATCGTAGCCAATGAGGTTTATCCGAGGCACAATTATTGCTAATAGGTGTTGTTCTTTCAAGGAATAGGAAACTGAGATGTGAACACATCCGAGAAATAAAAACAGATCGAGGGGTTGCTTACCACAAACGATAAGATAAAGCTGAATTTAGGCATACTTTGTGGATCTTCAGGCCTAAAACCAACTGACAAAACTGATTAAAATGCCTTCTGGCTAGAGTACATGTTCTAATACTCTTGTGGAATTTCTTACCCTGTGTTAATATGAAATGCTGACAGCCTTATTTTCATAATAGAGCTAAGCATACTTAATTTAACTTTCCTTTCCACCCCTTTCCTTGCCCCTACAGGAGGCTGTGGTGCTGACAGAAAGGACAGATACACAGATAACAATTCAGGAGGCCAGATAGACAAGTGCCATAGTGATGTTCAGTGGGTGTTTCTGTGAGGATATTTGAGAGGTTTACATGCTAGATGCAAGGAACCAACAGGGAAGAAAAGCAATTGACAGATCCAAGAGTGGATCTGTACAAAATAAAGTACAAAATAAAGGGCAACATTTGAAAATTAACCTAAAAAAAGTTATATTTCTTTCTTTAGGGGGCATGGATTAAACCATGACAGAAAGTTAAGGTAAAAAAAAGAAGTAAAATAAAGGAGTAATTTGCATTAGACTCACATTTTTTCTCATTAGAGCAGTTTAGGTGATGTAGAGAAAGACGTGGACAACAATAATAATAATAATGACAGGAGCTTTGTGTACATGGAAACCACTTGGTTATTCTTATATGTATATGTGATATCATAATTAGTTGTGATGCTGCCCATTTTCCATATAGAGGAACTAAATTTACTGCAATTTACTGATTTGTAATTGAAGGATCCTGAGCCCCACAATGCCTTGTGTGAGATGACAGAACAAATGGGTAGGGGTTTTAAGTAGAATGAATGACATTAAAGAAATTGGTGGAAATAAAAAGACAAAAAGGATTGATGAGCCTGTTGAAAATCAAGCTCAGATTAAAGAACATAAATGTAGGGCCGGGGGTATGATATAGATGGTTAAGCTACCAACTGCAATGCCGGCATCGCATATAGTCACCCATTTGAGTTCTGGCTGCTACACTTTCATCCCAGCTCTCTGCCAATATCTCTAGAAGAACAGAAGGTGACCCAAGTGCTTGAGTTCCTGCACCCACATGGGAGACCCAGATGAAACTCCTAGCATTGACCTATCCATGAGCCAGCCATTGCAGCCGTTTGGAGAGTGAACCAGTGAACAAAAGATCTCTTTCTGTGTATCTCTCCCTTTCTGTGTAATTCTGCCTTTCCAAAAATAAAATGCATTTAAAAAAATAAAATAGGGGCCGGCATCGTCACCTAGCAAGCTGATCCTTCGCCTGTAGTGTCAGCATCTCATATGGGCAACAGTTTAAGTCCCCACTGCTCCACTTCCATTCCAGCTGCCTGCTATGACCTGGAGGACAGTAGAGGATGGCTCAAGTTCTTGGGCTCCTACACTCACATGGGGTACCTGGGAGAAGGTCCTGGCTCCCTGCTTCAGATCAGCCCCTTGGGGAATGAACTAGCAGGTAGAAAATCTCTTTTTGTCTCCTCTCTATAAATCTGCCTTTACAAGAAAAATAAATAATTTTTTTTTTCAAAAAGGAAGTCAACATGACTGTAAGACTTTTCCATGGGCCAAGCTGTCCAAAACCAGGAATGAAGAAAAAGAAAAAATGGGGTTCTTTTGCTAAAACATTGTTCACTACAACAATAAAACTCATTCACACAAAAGGGGCGGTAATTTTGTTCCTTATAACATCGCTGCTTGGGAATGGATGTGACAAAGATATTTTGAAAAAAGACAGTAAGTCTGCTCTTCTCCCTCCTTCCAGCCTTTGATAACCTCTAATTCACTGTCTGTCTAGAGCTTCAGCTTTTATAGACATTCTCTACGCATTGAATCATGTAGTAGTTGCACCGTATGTCTGAGGGATTCCACCTAGCACAGTAGTTTTGAGGTTCGTCCATGCTGTGACACATGTCAGAACTTGGTATATGCCATTGTGTATGTACGCAGCATGTTGTGTTGCTGTGTTCATCTGTTGCTGGTTGCTTTTAGCCATTGTGAGTAACACTGCAATGTTATGCTGCATACTGTTTGTTTTTCAGTCCTTGTTTTCAATTATTTGAGATCAATACTGAAGAGTGTAATCTCTAGGTAAAACAAAAACAGTACACATTTATTATAATACAGTTAGGGGGTTGGAATTCCTAAAATCAAGATAT